ATTGAGAAGGGATGAGAAGCCCAAATGGGGACCAAAGGCAGAAGGTGCGGAATGAACAGGAGAGAATGGGCATCACCTGAGGGTCAGGAGTTCTCAGGGCTTCAGACCCCAGTTCAGGGACCAGGCAGGACCCAGGGCGGTTCTCTCAAGCCAACTCCCTCTCTGCCAAGCCCCAGTGTCTGCTTCTTGGAGTTGGGGAAACTGTGGCAGCTGCTCCTTTAGAGCCCCTGTCCCCTCCCTGCGCCCCCTCCCCTTGCATCTGTCTTCTGGCTAGAGTTGTGTGAAGCGGAAGACAATTTGGGGCTTATTAGTGTCCCAGGGAGACATGTAACTTGTGTTGCTGGGACCCAAACAGCAAGAGTCTTAGCAGCAAACTCCAGCCGAGAAAAGACTGAGGAATTGTCTCACCTAATTACGGGGAATGGCCCTCTTTGTGTTTGTGATTCGGTACGGTTGTCCGATCGCTTTTGATCGCTTTTCTCCGTTTGCTGGCTCAGGCTATGCTGGAATTGTGCTAATTAGAAGAGAAATGGACAGAGTGATCCTGTCAGCCCTGGTTACTGGTGGGGACAAAGCGGAATATTATTCTGAGGCAGTGTTTTGTGAGGGCCCTTCTTCCAGCTCTCATTAGGAGGAAGGGGCCACAGGAGGGGAAGGTTCCGAATGTCTGGCCTGGCTAATGGAGCACTGGGGTGTTCATGTGCTAATTAACAGGCTCTGCCAGCACTCGGGTGCCTCCCCCGTGCACCTGGTGCCACCTGAAGCCCCCAACCAGCCCTGCTCGGGAAGAAAGTGTTGGGCAAAGGGTGGGAAGGCTGGTGGCCTTTCAGAGTCAGGTTCATATCCTTAAAGGGCCCCGAAGCCTAAATAGATAGGAAAAGTCAGTTACTGGCCAGTCAGAGCTTCACACACCAGGAGAGACCGCTGACTGCTCACTCTTCAGGGGTGGAGGGTACAAGGTCCTCCTATGCAATGAAGCCCATGCAAGGCCAGGTAGTCCTGTAGCTCTCAAAGGAGGAAAAAAACAGACACTGTAGAACATAACCAAATGCTTGGAGATGGAGTTGGTGCAGAAGTTGAGAGCTGCTAAGAAACCCTGTCACCTGATCCCCCTGGGACCATCCACCTTGGCCCACTGCCTGTGTCCTCCCTTCCTGCTCTGCATTACCTTTCTGATCCTGCAGGAAACAGAAGAGACCGGAGCATCCCTCTGGAAATGCAATTTCTTGGCTTTATCATAAAGCATCAATGGAAGTCCAAACACGCTGCGGAAGCCCCGGGGGCAACGGAATGACTTTCACCAGCTCCATTTGCACTGCTCTGATTACGGTGAGTTCAGAAGGCAGAGGGCCAAAAACAAGGAGCAATTAGCAGCTGTCTATTAAAAAAAACACAATGAAAATAAGTAACAAAAAGATAAATTAATCACAGCATTTTGATATCAATGCAGTTGATATCCTTGAACTTCTACCGCTCCAACAAAGGAAAGAAAGTCAAGCAAATCAGTTGAGGCCTGAAACCTCAGAGACTGAGGAGAGCAAGCAGCAATGAGACTCTTGGTGAGAAAAGACTAGAGTAAGAATTTGAAAATGTGTCTCCAGGCACCAATGCTATGCTCTGCTCACAGCCAACAGATGCGAGGCATTGGTGGTGTTTGGAACAGCAAAAGGAAAGGGAAAACAAATCTGTAGGCAAATAATCATTTATGAGAAAAATAATCTCTGAAGATTTAAAGCAGCATATTTGTCATGCTGTACCTTTTCAGTCAATCAGCCATGCTTTTTTTAAAAAATAATTTTATTTATTTTAGTTTTGCTGGGTCTCCATTGCTGCGTGGGCTTTTCTCTAGTTGCGGCGAGCAGGGGCTACTTTGGGGTTGCGGTTTGAGGGCTTCTCACTGCGGTGGCTTCAGTAGTTGCAGCTCCCAGGCTCTAGAGCACAGGCTCAATAGTTGCAGTGCACAGTGTTAGCTGCTCCAACGCATATGGGATCTTCACAGACCAGGGATCCAACCCATGTCTCCTACCTTGGGAGGCGGATTCTTTACCACTAAGCCACCAGGGAAGCCCCAGTCGTGCTTTTCTAGATCAGAGAAATGTACTGTCCACCCAGATATATTCTTGGCAATCAATGATGAACCAATGATGCTAAGCAATCTGCTTTCCTTAAAAGGGAATGTTTTCTCTAAAAGGGCATGCTCTGGTCTGGAGCAGATAAACCATCAATGAGTGACACCAGTAGTACTGATTACATCAGTACTTCTGTTTTTGAACAGAGTTGTAAAGGGATGCATAATAAGGGTTTATGGCAGGTGGCAGAGAAGTATTTGCTTTTGATATGTCCTGTTTAACTGGAAGCATGCAAAACAGGTCATGAACCTCCAGTTCAAAGAAGCCACTGAAGAAGAACTTGATGTGTGGGAGACAGCCACAATCTCAGGGAGCAGATAAATTAGTGGGGCTCTAAGATATGTACTCAGATCACTTAAATATAAGGTAGACTGTAGTAATAAGAGTCATAAGGATGGTATACGTAAATGCTGTGAGAATGCAGGGGGAAGGATTATGCCCAGTTGGATCATAGGGTTTACAGGAAGGAAGGCTAATGGGCAGGAAAAGGATCCAAGGCTTCCAGGAACTCAATGGCATCCACAAAGGCATGTAAGTGAGGAACTGGGAACTGTTCAGATTAACTGGGATAGAGACTTCATACAGTGGAGAGAAAGGAGACCAAACTGGAGGGTTATTTAGGGTTATATGAAGAGAGTTTTAAATGCCAGGAGGACAGATCTAGACTTTTTAGCAGATGAAGGGAAGTATGCAACAGAGTTGGGTGGCTGGTAGCTGGCAGCTGGAGACCATTTAGTAGATGATCACAAAGCCCCACATCGCCCAACATGATATTAAAGGGAAGACAGTGGGTCATCTGCTGTTATAGCTGTGTTTTCTGATGAGGTCTGTGCTTTAAATATGCAAGTTGGCCTTTCAAGGAAAAACTCGCTCTCCTAATAAAAGGTACATATTTATTATGACGACACAGAAACCACTATACACAAAGTACAATCCTCTAACACCCTAAAATACATACATGCACACATTGTACATAAATTTATATTATCAATATAAAAATAAATCAATAACATTTCTAAGGACGGCAAATACAAAACCAATAAATATTGCAATTCTAAAACATCTACGGTATATTAAGTGCTGGTGGATAAGATGACAGTAAAAGGAAGAGGCCAAAGCAGACCCCAAAACCAGTTTACAGACTGGAGTTGGTTTGAGGGAGGTATCCCAATGTTCTCCATCTATTTCTCAATTTCCCCAAGCACTTAGAAGTGCCTGACACCATCAACTCAAAAAACAGAGCAAAGTTAGAACCTAACATTGTGGCATTATTTTTTTGCACAGCCCTCCTTCCTTCTCTCTCCCCATCTTTTACATTCTTTAACCGCATTTAAGATAAAGGAATGTCAATGATAAGCTTTACTTAAAATCAAAACCTCTCTAGCCTAACCTTATATATTGCATCCAAACAGAATGTTTGCCTTCTCATACTCTCTTTTAATGTCTTGTGTTAAATTCCACCCACTCTGATCAATAAGTAAAATTGCATGGATGGTCAAAGGAAGCAAATGAAAGAAAAATCCAACCTTAATTCTAGCATGGGAAACAAGGCAGAAGGGTCAGAAAATGGCTAATGGACCAGCTATTAAACTGAGTAGTGCTGTACCCTAGCCAGACACTCAGCATCAAAACCTTGACCACAACATCCCTAGTGTCTAAGCACTAACACACTACTGCCACATGGATGTTCTTTTCATAAAGTTTAGGAAACCCCATGAACTTCTCAAAATAACAGAAGCTGGGGACTGGCTTACAAGACAAAATAAGGAGAATACTTATAATCAACTTTAAACATGGGTTAGATTTTCAGGTCTTAACATAGATAATGGACTAAGAGCTCCATAAGAATTGTAGAGTCAAGAAATTCTTTCTTGTGTGTGTGTGTGTGTGTATTTCTATTATATGAGTGCACTATCTAATCTGTGCTATGAGATGGGATGGGGGGCGGGCAGGCAAAATATTGCCACCATTCCACAGCACATTCCTTTAAGGTCAATTAGAATTTCTAGTTTTTAATCAAATGGGAACTCCTGTACTCAATCCCCTTCTCCCATCTTTCAGACCATACCTACTTTCTCACTTGAATCTGTAACAGATTAACCAGAACTCAAAAGTCCTTTCCATCACCTTTAAGCTAGTCTTGATATCTAGAACCCAATGCAACCCTGCATGAGCCTTTCACTGTACAAGCTAATCCCAGGAGGGACTTGGTCCACAGAGATCCCGCTCCCCAGAGTCAAGACACATGGGGGGCCCTTGGAGGTGGGGAACAGAAGGCATTGAAGGATGCGACTATCGTGAGAGGTGTAGAGTTTCAAAAGCATTTCTCTAGCTGGGGATTCCTGGAACCTAGTATACATTGGTGGGTTCGCAGGTCAAACTGCACCCTGATCTGAATCTAACTGGTCCAGAATCTAATTGGCCTCTGGTCTCCTAGCATCATAAATAATTCCTAAGACATGAAGTACAATTCAAAGGAACTTGTCCAATCAACATGTCTTAACTGACTTTGCCATCACTGAATCAAATCAACTGTAAGATCCTGGAACTCCTGAATCACTTCTGGAAATAAGAAAGCAGGACTTTGACCTTTAAGAATGATATGCTCTCTGGTGTCACCAACATCCGAGGTTGAGATGGTCAAAGTCTGGAAGCTGATGGAATAACTGCACCGATCCTTGGGTAAAGCAGATTCCTCTCTTGCTGCCGAACGTCCTCAGAGGTGCAGAGTGCCAGAAGCAGGGGAGCGGGTGAATTCTGGAGTGCACCCTCTGGCCTCTGGTCAAGAAGCAGTGAGGTGTGCATCTTCAGAGCTGCAGTGGGAAGGAAGCATGGTTCCGGGCCCCAGGACATCCTGTCCACAAGCAGCTGCTACTTCTTGGGCTTCTCTAGAATGTTGAGGAATTTCCCCCTTGTCATCTCTCTGGCTGGAATCACAAAGTACATGAAAGATCAATGAACACCTAAACTCTGAAAAAGGGTTCACAGGAAGACTTAATTTGAGAATGTGCATTGACATAAATTGTATACAAAGTTGTTATCCTAACAGATCCCATCCCTACTAACCCCCAAAAAGTGGGAAACATAAACCACTCTTGACAACTATGGTAATTACCAACACTGTCCTGAAGTTGGTAATTACTATATGGTGCAGGCCAACTGGGGAAATCTTTATCATTCACCCTTTAAAAAAAATCACCAGGGAGCTCCCCCCAAATCCCCCTCTCCCTCAAGAATGTAACCTAATACTCATGTTTACTGTCTCAGGAGGTTTGCTTCTGGAGGCTAAAATCCAACCAAGATCACAGTCTTTTCTGGATTGTTGGTCTCTGGACATTTATAATCTCAAATCAAAATTAGAGATCATTTACCCCATCTCTCAGGAGTGGTAGTCCCTGGACACTGTAATATAACAGGGTTTATATTCCCTCAGTGCAGTTCATCTGTGGATGGAGTAATAAAGTAGGGTTTATAGAGCTTTGGTCTTCTCTCTCTTGGCATTGTCAGTCCTTAGATATTTAATATAGCCAGGCAAGGTTTATGTGTCTTTCTCTGACTTTCAGTACCATCAATCTTTGAATGCTGTAGTTACAAGAGGGTTTATACAGCTACTTTCCTACATATGAGGCTCTGAAAATGAAAGTAAAACATTTCTCAATTACAAGACCCACTCCAGAAGCCCCCAGTTTTAGATCGGTCAAGCAAATTCTCAAAAATCATATGTGGCATAACCCCCTTCATTCTTATCCCTATGTCTCTTAAACGGATCCTCTTTTTATGTCTCTTAAATGGATGTAACAGTGCCGAAAGTTTTCTATAGCTGGCCCTGGAGTCCAGAAGTCTGAAGCCACACAGTGGACATAGAGCAGGCTGCAGTGCCCTCTGGCCTCCTAGGGACATGTCTCCATCTTGGCCAAAGGAGAGAGATGACTAGGGAGGCACCTGCTGGGCTGAGAAGGACCTTCACTCTAGGCTCCGTGCTTTCCTTCCCAGCACAGCAAATAGTGGTAGATGACGGGTGCCCACTTCCTACCCCTACCACCTATATTGAATAGTTCTTGGTTTATTTGTACAAGAAAGAAAGAAAACAGTACAAACTTTGTAACTATAGGAAAGTTTTAGGTAACTGTAGTCTACTCATTCCTTATCTTTCACAAGTTCAAAGCTCCAACAAAGGAAAAGGAAATCCCATTAACTAGGAATAGAATCCTCAGTGCTGGGTCTTGTCTCATGTGCCCACAACCCTACCTTGGCCAAAATCAAACTGACCATTCCTTCAGTGAGTTTATGCCAAACTCCATACATATAAACTTCCTATAAGACTTGCAATTACTTGTTGATATGATTTGTCTTCCTTCATGGAAACGTAAGAACTGAGGGCAGAGATGGTATTTTACTATTGTTTACATCCCCAGCACCTACCAGTATCTGCTGAGTAACTGCTGGCTAGATGATGATAAAACAAAATGGAACCAACAGGAACACAGTAAAGTCAGTTTCCTTCCCTTCCACAGACAAACAGTAAGACTTGTCAGTGACCCTCACTGCTCCACTCTCTACATTTTGGGAGTCTTTTAAAATTTACCTCGCTTGTTTGGCAGGAAAGTCATTTCCCTGATGAAAGTAACACCAGACTTATGGAGAGATCTAGGCACAGGACCAACTACTCTAGTAGAAATCCGAATAAGTGTTTTCTTGCCCCGGGGAGGCAGCATGGACTTCTTTCAGAGGATACAGGATCTGAATTAACTTTCAACTCTAGTATTTGTCAGCTAGGTGACACTTTGAGTTGGGTAGGATCTCTGAGCCTCAGTTTCCTCATCTGTAAAATGAGTAGCGTATTAATACCACCTGCTCTGCCCTCTTGGGTATTCAGCCATGATCATGCTTCATGCAGTGGCAATATTATTAACACATCACCTTTCAGAGGAAGTTAGTAGTCTGTTGCTTCTCTTGCATGCAGTATTTCCTGAGTGAATAAGTGAGTGGATTGTGATAAGGCTGACTAGCAATCTCAAACATCCCATTTCTTGGAATCTTCCCCTCAGCCTGATCCCATAGGAACTGACTACTTATACTTTTGTTCAGAGTGGGTCTCATCATTTATTCCTCCTTGGATAGGTTTTCTGTCTATTTTCCAGTGCTTACTAATGACTTTAAACACAGTATTCAATGATCCTGCAGCATGGCTAGAAGCAGGTGCTTTGGAAATCAGACTTGGGTAATAAAAATAACTCAGTGGGTAGAACTGAGCCTTGTTTCAAAACTCCTGGGCTAAGAGCACTGTACTGATCTTACTAATTATTTCTGCCTCTTGTACTTCATATAACCCAATTCTTTACTTTTTTTTCCCCAAATGGGAAAATGACCAATATTTTAAGACCTAAAATTTTACAAGATCCAATCTATTCAAGGGATCAAAAGAATTTTAAAAAAGAAATAAACAGATATTCTGAAGTCTCTCAGTGGCAAGCTCTCCTTGAATTTAACCAATCCTTTTTAACAACCCCCTTTCCACTCAATCATTCCTCCCCCTTCAACCTAATCTAAGTACACAGAGCTGCAGCAAAACCACCGTAAAAGTAGAAGTAATTCAAAAGACATCATCTTCTACACGGGAGGGGAGAAAGTTCTCCTACTCGCTGGTCCATATAGGAGATATACGAATTCCTGACATAGCTGCTCCCTAAAAGAGGGCTGTACCCTATAAATCACATCCTAAGCACCAACCCCTTTCTGTGCACAGAGAAATTGCTGTGGGTCAGCGGCTGCTCCAGAGCACGTGCCCTCCTGTTCACTTGTCATCAGTGATGTTAACATCTCTGATTAATTCATATACCCCTGGTTTTATTCCTCATCTCTATCCTTGGCTCTCCTGTTCTCCTGCAGTATGAAGATTCTCACCGACCTGCTACAGGAATCACCGCCCGCTAACCGCACCCCCCAAACCTAGTGAAATTGTTTAGTGATGCCAACCGCGCTTTTAATTTGCAAGACATCAGACACAGAGGTAATTTATACCAACATCTGTTCATTTTTGACTTCTGAAACAAACTCGCACATGCTGCTACAAAATTCCATTAGGAGTAGAGAGACAGCCTTCTGCTACTATTCCGTATTCCTCTTCTACACACACACAACCCCCTTTCCAGTACGGTTTTACACATAAATATATTTTACTAAAAAACTCCCACAAAGGATTTCAAATCTTGTTGGGGAAAAAACCTTTATAGAAGACGACAGCTTGCTGACAGAGGAGACGAAGGTATTTCTACGTCCTCCTGCTTAGTTCCATCCCTTCGCGGTATAATCCTTACATTAATAGTCAGGGTAAGATTACATGCTCCTTAGCTTGACAATTCTGATTTCTGCCTTCTCTCCTGGTTCTTTTTCCCCCACAATGTGTCAGAAGACTGTCCTGGAGACAATAAAATTGCTAGAGAGTTTTATCTGAAGTCAACACCATTTTTAACTATCTTCTAGTTCTGGATTAATTCTCTAGGATTATGAGATTCAACAGAAAGGCAACACTGCTACCACAGTCTAATCACTAAGCCAAGAGGGATCCACTGGTCCTCGGCCAGCACAGTATGCTGTGCACAGGAGAAGCACAGCCTCCATGTCAGGTTGGGATTTACGGGCCTTCCTAGGCTGGGCACAGACCATAAACTGAGGAAGCCACAATCAAGACTCTCACCAAAGGCTGAACATGTGAACTGCTGCGGAGTGAGCGACAGGGGACAATGTGTACACATTTAAAGACGACAAACGGATAAACTAAAATCAACTTCCAGGTTGATTCTGGTTCTATTACCCCTTCACAGTTTTCCTAGGGCTGTCAGGTTCATGGCAGTTGTAAATACCTGGGTACACGTTAGAGAGGTCAGGGCTGAAGGGAGGACTCCATCCTGCTTGTGGTGAAGGTGATGTGTGCTTGAATGTAATCTCTTCTTTAGACTCTCCAATTCCTCCAGCCTACACTCAGCCTTGCCTCTGGCTCCCCTTCCACAATGACTATCCCCAAACTGCCTTCTCTGCAGTAAATTTTCTGGTGGCTGGTGGAAAAAGATTTCAGTGGTACAGATTGATTTCTCACCGGTGAGGAGATGAGGGATTACCAGAGGTACCCTGGTTAACGAGATTGGGTGCACAAGCTCTCACGAGACCAGCCCTCTCTGCCAGGGCTCTGCACCTTTCGCCCATGACATATGGGTTTCATTACAGAAAGATTTTCCAGATTATAACTTTGAGGCAATTGCCTGATAAAATTCTGCTTGGCTTTAAGACAGGAAACAATCGAAAGATTAAGTAACTTTTAATGAAATGGAAGAAACTCACAGCATTTGGTTTTTGGTTCCAATGCAAATTGTTTTAAATATTTCTGTGCCTCAATATAATTAAAAATATTAGTGAGGTGGAGGAGAGTTACTTTTCACTGGTTCTCTCACATCCTGAAGAGCAACAACAGACTGTTCAGGAGACTCTAATATGAGTAGCCAGGAAACAAAGGAGACAACATAACGTTGTGAAAAGAACAGGGCTTTTTTTTTTTTTTAATTTTTTGGCTGTGCCATGCAGCTTTCGGGACTACTTCCCCGACCAGGGACTGAACCCAGGCTCCCAGCAGTGCAAGCGTGGAGCCCTAACCATTGGACTGCCAGGGAAATTCCCAAGAGCAGGGTTTTTAGCATTAGCCAGGCTCGGATTCAAAATCCCAGCTCCCATACTGAGCCTGAGCCACTGTGGGCAAGTCACCAGAGTCATCTCTCTGTGTTTCAAACTCCTCATCTGTTCAAGGTGGGGTTAATACAAGGGTCACACAGGCATTTGGTAAATGCTAGCTACTATATGACTCTTTCTTTCATGTCAAACAGGAAGTTTATTTAAGCCACAAGATGCTTAATGGGAAAATTATCTAGGATTCATT